GGTCAATTTATCTGAAGAGTGCCACATTTTGTGGTACGAAACTATTTAGTAATAAAGATGCCTAGTGGATTTTGTTGATTGTTGTACCTTAATTTAAATATGCTCTGGTTTTCCATTGAGCACTTTACCAAAAGTTTTATAACCAACGAAACCAAATCTTATAATCATAAACATAATCGAAAACGCGGTTATATATATATATATATATATATATATATATATATATATATATATATATATATATATATATATATATATATATATATATATATATATATATATATATATATATATATATATATATATATATATATATATATATATATATATACTATATATATATATATATATATATATATATATATATATATATATATATATATATATATATATATATATATATATATATATATATATATATATATATATATAATTAGGTTTCGTTGTTTACAAAAACATTTGGCAGAGTGCTCAATGGATATCCAGAGCATAATTAAATAAGTGCAACGACTCAACAAATTCCACTAGGCATCTTTATTACTATTAGTTTCGTACCAGAAGATGTGGCACTCATCAGATAAATTAGCCTTATGACTACAGTAAAAAAACCTACAGTATTTATGCACAAGTGGATGAAAGCTTTAAATTAATCCTATTTACAAAGCACGCAAAGTATTAACAACACATCAGCATAACGCCAAGCTGTTAAGATTGCGCGGTATATTTAAAACAAAAATATGTCTGTCTCGAGTGCATGCCCTTTAAATGTTAGCTAAAAGAATTTTTTTCGCATGTCTGCATGAAGACACTAATTCATTACGTTTGTTCAAAGTAGCTAGTTCAGGTTTACATATAATAAAGTATTTTTCCCACAGGCAGAGATTACATCTATTAGAAGCAGGGATGTAGGGTTTGGCCCGTTTCAAGGTTTGCCATTTAATATGAAATTCAATTCCTTTGCGCTTTAACTGCCAGACATATTTACTAAGTTCAGTGGAGTTCCTTTTCTCGTACAAAGTAAATGAGGTTTTGTGGTTGTAATATCTAGTTTTAAAAGCGTTTTCAGTCAGACCAACGTATGTTTGAGGTGGACTATTGTCGTTGGTAGAAACTGTAGCTTGATATACAATAGATTCGACCAAACACTTTTTGGACATTGGGCACTCCTCTTTCTTTCTACAGTTACATGTGCTTTCTTCGCTCGTTGTGGCGGTTTGTGACAGTTTGGTCTT